CTTTTTTTCCGATGATTTAAAAAGAATTGTTTTAGATAAAAAGTATTTATTCGTATCAACGAAACAAGCTGAGAGGTAATCCATATCTATCAAAAAATGGTTTGGTAATAATAAGCTACAGTTGGAATCGGTAGGATATTGCTTTAAAATTGTTCAAAATACTGGTAAAATACGAAGTTGAGTACGACGTTCAGTGACTATTACAATATAATCTCCAGTACAACATAGCTCAAGCAATCGAACAAGCGAGTGTACTTGAGCCCTGAATGTTTCTGATTTAATTTTTCTGAGGTTCGTAGGTGTGCGTAGTGGTGGGGTGGCGTAATGGAAATTTAAAAAAAAAGATTCATTCTAAAAGTTTTTGAAGATAAGGTTGTACATCCTCACGCTCCCTCCAAAATCAGCTTTTAAAATAGTTTGAAAATCTTCATTCTAATTTGTTTACCTTTTAAAAGGTACCTCATGTCGATGTCCACTATTGATAATGAGTAGTTGTGATTCATTACGACTCAAAATGGTTAAGTCGCCGTGAAAGTTCTGCTCTTTTTTATCAGAAATTTCTGCAAAATTTTCATGCTCGAGCTTGACTTTTAAAAGTGCTAATAACTATAAATGTTTTTTTTGTGTCTTGTTTGAAAATTTGAGCTTATACGCAGGTGTTCATTGAGTCGCTCATGCAAAGTTTGTGGTTTTATAGCTTTCAACAAACTTATCGGACAGCTTCTTAAGTTTCTGAAATAGTTTGACTTTGAGCCAGTGGAATAGTAGTGAAAAAAATCAACCGATTTTTTGAAACTGCCTTTGAACTGTCAAAAAAGCAAATCAAGTTGGTTGTGCTTTTTCAGAGGTCAGTTTTTTAATATAACTTTAAGCCGTTAGCGTCAAAACAGTTTTCATTCAGCAGCAATCGGAGATGCAGTTTTTCAATAAAAAAGAACGCATAATATAGAGAGTTGCAAAAAGTTCAGACAGACAAAAATAATTAAAAAGAGCAATCTGCCAATTTTGAGCAACTTTTGCATGCAAAATTCAACTTTTAGGTGACATTGAGACATACTTTCTGTCTGAAAAATTAGCTTTTGCATGCAAAAACTGTCTGAAAAAGGTCATTTGCTCTTTTTAATTACTTTTTTCTGTCCGAATTTTTTGCGACTAATTATACGACGACAAAAAACCAAACGCGAAACTTCAAAGAACTATAATAAATTGCAAAAATTGGAACAGATAAAAATGATTTAAAAGAGCATTCTGCAAATTTTCAGCAATTTCGCAAGCAAATTTGATAATTTAGCTGACCTTGAGACATACTTTCTGTCTGAAAAACGAGCTTTGCTTACAAAAATGATCAGAAAATCGTCATTCGCTCTTTTAAATTCTTTTGTCTGTTCCAACTTTTTGCACCCTCGATATTTCTAATAAGTTTCGGCTTAAGGTCAAAATTATTTCAAAAACTTAAGACGTCATTCTGGTTATTTGAATTTTCGTTTTTCTGTGATATAAACCTTCTAGATTCGATTAAATCGTGGTTATAAAGTTCTATTACACTAGAGTATATTGAGTTTTTGAGCCGCACTAACTCCAATGTTACCCTTAGTCGGAGTCGCAACTTGAATTTCAATGTTTTCTTTCTCATCGCAGGTAAATTAATTTTTAAAAAATTTGATGTACGCAACAATAGGAAATGAGAAGTTGCGGATCTTGTACTTTCACAAGATGATTTTTTCAAAAAAAATAAAAACGTTGGTCGAATACAGTTTGGTTCATCTATTTGATTTTCCGTGCTCTCCAATACAGGACATGAACCCTATTTTGCAAACGTTTGATTCAAATAAAGTATAACAAGAATTGATCTATACATTAGGGGCGAAAGTTCATTTTTAAAAAAAGTGGGATCGATCGGCCGCAGATGGATGTCAAAAATTAATTACCAAAGGAGAACCCTTCAGCTGGGAGAGGTTCAAACCCCCTTATGATGACGCTGTGAACGAAACTTTACGTTGTTGTTTAATTCAATTCGTGTCTTTCAAGTGAGAAACAAGATGATGGATAAAAACAAGGAACTAAAAAATTATACAAATAATTTTCAGGGAAGAAGCTCTACTTTTGTTTCTTTCATACGCTTTTTTATTTGAGTTTTAATATAATTCCCCAAATCAAAAAATTTATCTTCCAATGATTTAAAAAAATTATTTATTCGTATCAACGAAACAAGCTGAGAGCAATCCATATCTATAAAAAGATGGTTTGGTAATAATAAGCTACAGTTGGAATCGGTAGGATATTGCTTTAAAATTGTTCAAAAACCTGGTAAAAGAGGAAGTTGAGTACGACGTTCAGTGACTATTACAACATACTATCCAGAACAACATAGCCCAAGCAATCGAACAAGCGAGTGTACTTGAGCCCTGAATGTTTCTGATTTAATTTTTCTGAGGTTCGTAGGTGTGCGCAGTGGTAGAGTGGCGTAAAGGGAATTTTTAAAAAAAGATTCATTCTAAAAGTTTTTGAAGATAAGGTTGTACATCCTCACGCTCCCTCCAAAATCAGCTTTTAAAATAGTTTGAAAATTTTCATTCTAATTTGCTTACCTTTAAGAGAACAACTGAAAGCAATTTGATTTGCTTTTCAACCAAAGTCTTACAAAGTGAAATAAAAAGCTTACTTCACTGAAATCCTTCAAATGTGCTTGTACCATTAACTCGATCGAGGTTCGTGACTAAAGACGGTGTTAAAATTGATCTATCTGCGTAACTCAAAATGGTTAACTCGCCGGGACTTAGCATGAATGAAGAAATTCGGTGTTTTTTTGCTCAGAACATTTTACCAAATATTCATGCTCGAGTTTCACGTTCAATAGTTTCTATAAATTATAAATGTTTTGTTTGCATTTTTCTAATGGAAAATTTGAATCCACACGCAGGTGTTCATCGAGTCGCTCATGCAAAAGATGTGGTTGTTTTTGCACCATTCTACGCAGAAACGTCATTTTTAGTTTGGATTGCAATTTAAAAAGAATTGTCTAGCAATTAAACATATGTCAGAACATAACTGATCCGCATAACCTGCAATGATACCATTAGTCGTTTACTGGAGTCTCTTTTTGGTTTTCAATCTTTTCAGTTTCATCGCAGGTAAATTAACTTTACTATAACTTCTGATGTACAACAGGAGCTAAAAAGGGGCAGATTTGGGATTTTTTCAAAGAGCTTTTTGGTCGATCAATTCGATTTTGCCGTGCTTTCCAAAAAATGTATAAAGAAGTTTTTTTTTAACAACTATTACTTTTTGTTCGTGCCAAAAGAACCTTTAGAAAAATAGGGTCGAGCGGTTACAAATGGACGTCGATAAATGAAACCAAAAAACCTTTGACTGGTAAAGGGGTCGAAATCTTTAAAGGTGGACCTCCCCTTCTCCCTCTAAACCCACCCCTGTAGCTAAACAATAGTCTGCGGGTGAATTGATAAATGAGGCGATAGCTGAAAAGTTTTAACTAAACGTCAATTTGGAAGAACGTTCATCACAAGCAGCCGTCTTTGTCTACTAGTATGCAACCAGCTAGTAGATGACACCTTGCGCAAACTTATTTATAAGGAAAGTAACCACAGAACAGTCTTTTTAGTTGACCTTGAACAAAACTTGAATCTACTTAACAATCTCCCCTTGAATCTACTTAACAATCTCACCAACCAACTACTAAACAGGGGGGATATTAGTAAGTAGATTAAACCGGTCGAATTTTTGACCATTCTGAATGCACCAAAAGTAGAATTCGCTATAGAAAGCTCAGTGAAAATATACTGTATTTATTCATAGGGGGAATGGGGATTGTTAATAAGATACCACAGGGGGAGGGGGGTTGTTAAGTAAATCCCAAAGCTTTTGTTCACTTGTATTTATTTCACTTTGTTTCTTTCAAATGAAATAAAAAGAAGATATTACAAGAGGGCATTTACAATATTTTCAAGAGGGTTGCTCTATTTTTTCATACGCTAATTTTTTGCAAGTACAATAAATCGACAAATCAATTTTTTTCTGGTTTTAACCGACTAGTATAATAAACGGATTTAGGTACAGAAGATAGCGCTGTTTTCGAACCAGCAAAACAAGCTGAGGGCGATCAATATCTATCTGAAGATGATTTGGTAATGATAAGCTACAGTTGGCAGCAGCAGGATATTGCTCTAAAACTGTACAACAACCTAGCTGAAAACGATGTTATGGTGTTTATTGACTATTACAACATGACATCCGAAAACAACGTAGCGCAAGCAATTGGAGAAACAATCGAACAAGCGAGCGTACTTTTAATTGGCTTATCCGATGACTACCAAAAAAGTATTTATTGCCGTCAAGAAGCGCTTTATGCTTTTCAATTGAAAAAGAAATTGGTGTTCCTTGAGCTGCAGAAAGATTTCAAACCAACTGGCTGGTTAGGTTTCATACAAGCCGAGCATATGACATACAGTTTCTATGACGGGGTGGACTTTGATACGAATTTCGAGAAACTTCTGCAAAATGTTGAAAAAAATCCAGTGCACAGTTTGGCCGCGTAATGAGGCGCCGACTGGATGTATCGATAAGTTTTGATGTATCAATCAGAAAACAAATTGGTGTCAATAATGTATCTAAAAAATCTGATGTATCAATAAATGTTTAAATTTAAATTATCTTTCCTGCGTTCAAAAACAATCAAACCTTCTCAATTGCGGTTACCAGTTAACTTTCAAAGCTAGATTTAAAATGCAAACAGTTTCTGGTTCTGATGGGGCAGTGGTTCAGATGGGGGAAGGGTTGTAAAATGGCAAAAAGGTAAACGTTATCATGGAAAGGTTAATGGAATCGTTTCGCAATTTGAGACAGCTTAGATTTAGAAATGGAGCAGGCCGTACACTCGCTTTGCAAATTTTCCGCATAAGTCATTTGATAAATGCAGAAACTCTAAAATGTGCTCGACGCGAAACAAAATAAAGTAGAAAAAACCCATTTTATTTTGATTTTCTACTTATTAAATTATCCTTTATAATGGATTTCAAATAAAATATATTGCATTCTGGATTTACATTCACTTTTAGTCCAATTTTGTTGCGTGAGTATAAGATGGGGCTCAATTTTTTATTACAAATTTTTTTAACCACAAAAACTCATGATAATCAATTGCTTTTAAATTTTCTCGAATGCGGGTAAACTTTTTCAATTTGTTTTAAGTCTCTGAAAACTTAAAGACGCGCTATTTTCGATACACTTGATGTTTTGAACTTAATTATAAATGTTTATCGTTCATAGTTGTATAATATGATGAGAAAGTTTTTCAGGGGGGGTTAAACTGGGTTTAGAACTCACAAACTTTTTGTTCTTGACCACATGAAGTTTTGGTACATATGTGGGAAACTGAACTCCATAGCCATTTTTGTTCACATATGTCCAACAAATCTATAACTTATACACTATTTTGTGCTGAAACAACAAGCATAGGAAACAGGAGGCGCATAATTTAAGCACATTTGCATAAAATTTGTCACTGGACTCCTCAATTACAGAAAACCGGTCAGTGATTCATGTAAATTTCTTTTTTTATTGGATTCCATAGACGGTTCATTACTTTCGACCCTATTTTGTCTATCCTATGCCATTCTATACTATAATATCCTACTCCATATTCCAATTAACCCTATGCCATTCTATCTTATGCAAAGTTACACTATAATTGAAGCAATTGAAGCTAACCCGTTGTCTTTGAAGAATACAAAATCACTATTTCAAATTCGAAAAATTAATTTTTGCTCGTGATTAAATTATCGAAACAAAAAAAAACATTTGCTTGCTCAAAATGAAAATGAAATCAAAGATTGAGCGAACAGAACTTTTTAAAATAATTTTCATTAAATTAATGCCTTGTGGCATTATCCTTAAATCCCAAATCGAATTAGCTTATTGGATAGAGCATGTCCAATGTGCAAAGGATTAACTCACTAAAAAGTTAAAACAAACGTTTTAACTGGAATAAAAAAAACTGTGGGGTTGATTAAACAAAAATGGAATGAAGACTCGACAGTATAAAACAAGACGGTACTGGGAGCGGAGCGAAGGAGTGACAACTGCCTTTATCATTTCCCAAAATATTAGCCTTGTTCGACAACGGAAACCTCCGAAAACTAATAACTTTTAGAAATAAATAAGAATTTTAAAAAATTCAAGCTGAAAACTTCATAAGTTCAAGCAGAATCAAAAATAACCTAATTGTCCTAGAGACACACATCGTTGCAATAAACTCGTTGGTAAAATTTGATTCTCTCATTCATTTTCTTGCGTTGTTTTGCGGTTAAGCTTTTTTTTGTCCATAGTTTTCCAAGTATTTATTACTGATTTGCAGTATTTAATTTAATTCGTGCACATAAGGAGTGAGAAGACGGGTGGTTTCCTTTAAAATGAATATCAAGGCCAAAATGTCATCCAGCAACTGCTTCTCTGAAAGATCTTTGATGGTAAAAAATAGTCCCTGCAGCTCCTCTCAACACACTGATTTTCATGTAGCTGCGTTAGAAGCATGTGGCCTCGTCTGCAGTTTCTTTGATTTTTCTAGCAAGTTTTGGACCGGAAGTGGATCCAGAGCCAAATTGAGTATGTTATTGCTTTCATTTAAGCGTTTCAGTCCCACTTTGTCCAATTTCTATGATAATATGACATCTGATAACAACAGAGCTGAAGCGATTGCAAAAAAAAAACGAACGCGCGAGCTTAGTTTTATTTGACTTTTTCGACGACTACTAAAATATTTTTATTGTTGACAAGAAGCACTCTTTGTTTTTCAACTGAAGAAAAAATTTGTGTTCACTGAATTAGATTTTATACAAGTGAAGCATAAGACATACAGTTTCTATGAAGGGGCAGGTTTGATACGGATTTTGGGAACCTTCAGCAAATTTTTGAAAAAATTAATCCAGCACAGTTTGGCTTGGTAGTCAGGCGCCAGCTTGATTTATAGATAAGTTTTGGTCTTTCAGTCAAAAAACAGTTTGATATATCATTAATATATCAATAAACTTGATGTATCAAGAAAAAAACTAATTTAATGTACCATTTCTGCGTTCAAAACCAACCCAACTTTCGAAGCTGACTTTAAAGCTAACACTTTAAAGCTACAACTAAAAGGCGAACAATTTCTGGTTTTGAGCGAATGGAGACTACATACACTAATTGATCAAAACTTCTTAAAAGACTATTTTTACATAAATGAAAAATCACCAGTCTGTTTTAGCGGAAACAAGTAGCCGACGAAATTAGTGAAACTTGTTTCAATTTTTTTAAAACTCTTCGAAATTGTTATGGCACGCTTGACGTTTTCAATTTTATTATATATTCATTTGGTGCATGGGGTGTATGATATGTTTCAGTGGGAATTAAACCGGGAGTAAAAACTCGCATTTTTTGTTCCTGACCACGCCAATTAGGCATTTTGTGTTCACATATAATGAACAAATCTACAGTTTTTGAACTATTTTGTGCTAAAATAACGAAGCAAGGAAACAGGAGACGTATGAAATAGGCGTTTTGCTTAACGCTTGTCACTGAAATCCCTTAATTATAGACCATCGGTCAGTGATTTGTGTAAATTTTATTTGTTTTCGGATTCCATAGACGGTTTCGTGACTTTCGACACTTTTTTTAATCTACCCTATGCCATTCTATACTAAGACATCCTACTGTATGAGCCTTTTTGCCCATTGTTTTCGAAGTATTTAATTGTTGATATGCAGTATTTAGCTTGATTTGCTCAAGAAAGGTGTGAAGAGACAGGTGTTTTATTTTGAAAAGAGTAGCAACGCCAGGATGTCCTCTTTATTCCAGTAATTGCTCCTTTGTAGATTTAATAGAGTCGCGGCAACTCCTTCCAACTATTTAGTTTGATGTAGCTGGGTTGGAAGCATCTGGCAAAAAAAGCATGATGTTGGAAGCATGTGGTACAAGAGATTCGCGGCAACTCCTTCCAACTATTTAGTTTGATGTAGCTGGGTTGGAAGCATCTGGCAAAAAAAGCATGATGTTGGAAGCATGTGGTAAAAGAGATTCGCGGCAACTTCTTCCAACTATTTAGTTTGATGTAGCTGGGTTGGAAGCATCTGGCAAAAAAAGCATGATGTTGGAAGCATGTGGTAAAGGAGAGTCGCGGCAACTCCTTCCAACTATTTAGTTTGATGTAGCTGGGTTGGAAGCATGTTGCCTCGTCTACAATGTTTTTGATATTTCCAACAAAATCAAACCTGAAACCTGATTAATTGTTTTAGATCTCCTCAATGGCGATATCAAAGCGACCACCTCAACTGCTTAAAAGTTTTTGTCCAGAATTGAAGGCAGAGCCACATTGAGTTTGTAACTGCTATCATTCAGGCGTTCCATTTTCCAGCTGAAGGCCTGTCACAAAAGAAAAAGCTACTCTATTAAAGCTGCGGTGTGACTCGGCGAATGGTTTTAGTGCTGCTCGTTCAAAATCGAGGAGACTAGAAGAGGCTCGGTATTTTAGGTGCGCTTTAAACTTAGCAGTTCAAAATCGACAAAGGATGAGCTTTACATTTTTTTTGTTTGGTTTCAAGTTTTTTGTTTTGCTTTGAAATCGCCATAGTATTAGGTTTTACATTTTTTGCTTTGTCCTTAGGACAAAAACCAAAAGGTTTCTCATTTGAGACAAGCAACAGATTGAGTGTTAAGAATCCGACAGATAAATTGAATTTAGAAATATGACATAACATCAAACATATTATTTTCGCAATCCGTAACTTTTTGAGTCCAATTAAAGAAACATCTTTTTCAAAAACTTGGTATTTGTAAACCGCAGCCTGTTTTTTACGGGCTTTCAAATTATTTTTTATCAGAAGAAACTAAAAAATTAGAGCGTGTGTTTTGTGTGTCGGATTTCAATCAAAACAAAATTCTGATATTGATTTTTATTTTTGTAAAATGACTGAGCTTGGATTACATTATAAGCAAAAATTCCAAATCAGCATTAAAAAAACGTTTTTTTTTCGGAAATTGTTTGTTTTTGTTTGGAACTTCCTCAATTTTTTAGGTTTCAACAAGAACTTTTTTAGGTTTTGTAGCTTGTAGTCTGTAAAATTATTACCAGTACAATTTTGAATTGTGTATCCTTTATGAGCGACCTCTTATTCAAATCAATATTTTTTGTAGTAGAAGAAAATGATTATTATTGGAAAAAAATAATTATAATTTATAATTTCTTTTCATGGCTTGGTTGTAATGAAAAAGAATCAAAGTATTGGTTTTTTAATATTGAGAGGCTAAAACCGATCTCATGAAACTCGAGTTACAGCTGTACCTTTTTCTTCCCCCACTCGGCAAAAAATATCAAAATTTATTTTATTCGAAATATGTTTGGGAAGCAAATGTTTTCGAACTGTTGGTTATTCTGAGAAAACGCCAACTAATTGAATTCACGAATTCAACAAACGTTCTAAATATTGCTATTTTCATCCAAAAATCTATATTTTAAACTTAGAGTTTTATAATGTCGTTTTAAAAGTTTTTCCTATCAAAAAAGATGACAAACAGAATTGATCAGTTAATTGCTCAGTGTTTTTTGACGAATGTTTTTGAAAACTTTTTTTCTTTTTTTTCAACTTTTGCTAACAATTTTTGTTCTTTGTTCAAAAAGTGGTTAATCCTAAAAAATTCAAAACAAAAATGTACATGTAAATTATTTTTAGATAAAATTCTGTTAAATCGAAAATAATCAGGCCAGTGTATCGATTTTTGACCCTGAGACAAATTTTTTTTTAATTATCTCGGAACCCAAAACCGAAAAGACCTTATTATGCTACCTTAATTGTTTCCCTACAATTTTTTTGGGATAATTGAATTTGAGCAGAAAATTTTCAAGTTGCGCCACAATTCTATTCCTTTGCTTTGTTGGAAAAATAATCAGCGATTGATAGGGTAAGAAACTAGCGAATTTTCAACACTACACAGTTCTCCTTCCTCTCAACTTAGCATCAAATTTGTGAAGATTTTTTGATTGAATATTCTTGAAGCCAAGACAAACCCAACGTTTCATGATACATCAGTATAATTTGTGTTTTTATGCAACGTAAAAAAAGCATTTCAAAAAAGTTGTTGTCAAAAAAGTTGTTGTCAAAAAAGGATGTTGACTCATCAAAACGGCTATCTTGGCACACAATTCGTTCAAGTAAAAATAGAACGTTCAATTTTTCTAAATAATAACTACCGGATTTGTCTTAAGATGTCGTATATTTGCCCAAATTAGTTAAGTTTGTCTTTTGCTAACAGTACCATCAAATCTATATAGCTCATGCAAACATTGTAGAACGTATCACCGACATTTTCAAATTGCCCGAAGTTCGACTCGATTGAAACCAAATTATTGTCAATCTATTTAGTCATTTCAGTCATGGCTGTCAAGATGTGCCTGATATTTTTAGTTCTAGCCTTCATTGCTAGTGTTAACGGTAGGATCTTTGCATACATTACTAATCATCCAAACAATTTTTAAGACTACTTATAGGCGAGAAAATCCCAGCACGCACGGTTTTTCTTCGTTTTTTGCCAAATTGATATGCCTTCGCGAAAATGGATGTCATAACATAATACCAAAAAGGCAAAAGGCGCCCTTTTGTTTTTTTGTTTGGTGAGAAGGTCGAAACCCTGAACCACCCTCGCCCCCTCCACCTAAATCTGCCCCTGCTTCCTTTCATGTATTTCTAAATGCAAGGGCGGATTTAGGGGGAGGGGGGTGTTTCGATCCCCTACCGACTCAAAGGGTCCTCCCAGTGTTCTATTTTGAGACATCTATATTTGGCAACGAACCTTACAAACTTTCTAAAGGCGCCTTCGGCACCAATATACACTAATTTTGAGGGGCGAGCGCGATTTTTCGGTCGAAATTTTCCAAAAAGTGCCTAAAAACACCTTCTTTGTCCTGTTTTTTTTTTTTAATTTTGCCTGCGGCGCAGAAATTTTGGCCAAAACAGGGTCTTTTTAGTGCTTTGAGAGAGCTCGGAAAGTCAATTTGGTCGACCTCATAAAAAAAAGGTCGACAAAATTTTCGATATTTTCGAAAATCCGCCCCCTTCGAGAAAATCCTAAATCCGCCCCTGCTTAGATGTAATTTCTTGCGCCAGCTGTACATTTATAGGGGATTGCTTCTCCAGGCTTAATTTTTTTTCTCTCTCTCTCTTTCTCTCTCTCTTAACGACACATCAAATTGGTCCTTTGAATACTGAATTCAGCGGGGCTACTGAGATTTGGTACTACAATCCCCAAAAGGGTTAAGTTGGTGGCAACTATTCTATACCATTTTATGATACTTAGGTACTGCTCTAAAGGCTGTTCGTCTACTTGAACTTCTTCCAATGGTAGTTCAATTCAGAAAATGTAAGTCTGAATACAGAATTCTCTGAGTGACCAGAAAAAAATCATACAGTCTAATCAAAAGGAAAGGGTCCATAATTTATCAACACTATTGCATAAATACAATTTAACTTCCATTTAATTCAACTAAACAATTCTCTCTCTCTCTCTCTCTCTCTCTCTCTCTCTCTAGAGAATCCTAATTACCCAAATACACACAGTAATTTCAACAACTCGGTTCGACCTGCTAAAATTAATAGTGTCTCTAGGGATCAGTATTCCTTTGAGTTATTTTGACTGATCTCATTAACTGCAAGAATCACTGTTCTCACTCTGATGAGAACGAAATATCGTCTGACTCCGTATCAATTGTTCTCTAACTAAGCGGAAACCAGCTATACTTTAACTCAGTACCAATTGTTCTCTAACTAACTGAGAATCAACCGTTCGCTCTCACAGGACCAATTTTCTCTAACCAACATTCAACAATGAAAACTAACCGTTCGCTCTTACATCACAATTGTTCGGCCTAACGGTAGGCTATCGTTAGTCTTTTCACAAAGTATGTCTATTTAAGTTTTAGTTATAGTTACAGTCATGATATTTACTCTGGTACTTCAATTTTCCCTTGAAGACACTAGTTGTCATTGCCAAGTTCACCATAGGTATCTGCAGCCAAGTTGTGCAAGTATCAAGTCCAACTTCACCTCTAAATCAAGTTATGTTTACTTAACCAGTCTACCAAGGTTTTTTTTAGTTATCCCATTAAAGTTCCCGGGGTTAGGCGAAGACCATTTTCATGAGTCGTTAATTCAATCCAAACATCTAAAATGTTTAGTTAAACTACTTCAATGCTACAACTTAAAGCTATGTCCATTTCACCTTCTGCTTCAGTTCCAAATAAACACGTTTGATCCCAGTATAAGTCAGGTGATTGATTCCAATTTCCAAAGATAGGGCTATTGAATGCGCCCCAATCCGCTGTTATTCTTGAGTTTTTTTCATGCAATTTTAGTCCTAAACGCCCAAGAGTTTTTCAAAGGTCACTCGGGAGTCACCCAGTGTAAATTTTTTAAGTTCAGGTTTAGAATCCCAAGGGAGTCGTACCTACCAATTTTCATCCATATTCCATTAAAACTTCTCAATTTATCAAATTTATAAGACCTTTATCGCTTTTTCCGGCAAACGGCTATTAACACCGGAAGAAGTCGCCGGTGGGGTTTTACACACAAGGGGTCTTTTTTGGAGTTGGTGTCTAATGTATATTGCCACTACAAAATCAATATTCCCTTGCCCATTATTCTGCATAAATTGCCAATTTTCGGTTTAAGTGCTTTTTTCCAAAGCGCAAATAGGTTCCGGTCCAACAGTTTTTTCCATGACCGGGTCGTATCATCTCTAGTACCCGTCTTATCAGTCTCATGAAGTTAGTTTTTTCCGTGAAGCTTGGTTTCCATTTGGGGGGTACCGTCTTATAAACTTCACCAGAGAAGGGCCTGATTCTTTCAAAGTCGAACCTTTTTTGGACTCAACCGTTTTTTTTACTTATCGTAATTATTAGTGAAAACCAAACTACGTAATAACCATCAACCTTTTCTATACTGATTGCATTTCTCAAGCTGAAACTCTCAGATGAAATTTGAATTTGGCGAAAAAGTGTTAGGTTCACAAAAAGGGCACAGATCAGGGGGTCTCGAAGCTCCAAATTCTCGGCTGAATCGAAAAAAGTCGAGTTTTTTTTATAGAAACTCTTTAAAAACACGCGTAGTTGTTATTAAGCGCCCAAGTATCTTCGTATTTATTCACGCGGCAAAAAAAGTTCAGATTATAAAAAGTATTTCAACTGTGTATAATAAAGCTTCAAAACAATTGGAACTTACATTCCAAAACACAAACCAATAGCAAGAAAGGTTAGATTAAGTTTAACTTCTCATTAACGCTACACATACAAAAAGCAATAATAGTTTTGTCACTTTTTGCTAAACAATTTTAGGAAGCTCTGCTGATGATATGGTAATGATCAGCTACAATTGGGCTCACCAAGATGTTGCATTGAGTCTCTACCACAATCTAACGGCGAATGGAGTCAATACCTGGATTGATGTCTACAACATGTCATCTGCGAACAACCTCGCTCAAGCTATGGGTGAGACGATCGAAAGTGCCAAAATGGTTCTCATCTGCTTTTCTGAAGCCTACCAGAAAAGTTTGAATTGTCAACATGAAGCTTTGTATGCTTTCGACCTGAAGAAACCGTTGGTGTTCGCGAAGTTTCAAGAAGATTTCACGCCGACTGGTTGGCTGGGATTCATTCAAGCCTATCACCAGTATTACAGTTTCTACAACGGGGCCGACTTTGATGAAAACTTTGATAAGCTGCTGCAGAATATCAAAAAAGGAGAAGAAATGTTTTTGGAAGAGTTCGAATAACATGAAAGTTTCAAAATACAAATTTAAATACTAAGATATAGATATATATTTCAAATTGTGAATTAATGAATCTAATTAGAATTATCGATCCGGAAACATTTTATGATGATTGATAAAGAAGTTAATGTATTGAATTTACATAATTTTTGATGATTAATAAATAAATTCAGGCACCAACAGATGGAAAAATGAGAAAGTGAATCAGCGCCGCGTATATATAAAAAAAATATTTCATGCCTTTTGCTTTGCAAAAAAGTTCAAACTTAAAACGGAATTGACGTTAGTTAAAGTTGCAAATAAAGGATTTGTGAAAAGAGAGGTGTGAAATTTTCTGAATTCTAAATAAGAAAACCTGTCTGGAAAAAAGTCTGGAGAATAATTCCCTTAATCTCCCCATGATGTCGATTGCTTGATCTGCGACACTTTATCATGTCAAATGGGTACAATCAGGGGCGGATCTAGGATTTTCTCGAGGGTGGGGGGGGGATGTGCTGATTTACAAAAAATTCTGTAAATGCTTGTCAAATTTTTTTTAGGTCGACCAATTTGATTTTCCGACGTCTCTCAAAGCACTCCAAGGACCTTGTTGTGGCCAAAAAAATTGGCGCCGCAGGCGAAGTTTTGAAAAACAAAAACAGGCAAAAAGCGTTTTTTTTGGCGCGCTTCCCCCTTAAATGCAGGCTCCCCCCTTCCGCCGGTAGAACAATTTAGGGTCCGTCAAAAATGGAAGTCTCTAAATAGTACAAAGGGGAACCTTTTGGGTCGGCAGGGGGAGTTCCTGTGGTGGGGAGGAACTTCCTGCAAATTTTTGCAAGCATTTACTATCAAATGACATCATTTGAATGTTCTGCTTCCACAGAATCTATTTTAATAAGTGTGCAACAAAAAAGTTTTAAAAAAACGTTTATTTTAACGAATTAAGCAAAAATGGCTATTTTAAGTCAAAACAAGACACGTGACAAAATTTTTTTTTCCAAATCGAAAACTTGAAGAAAAAAATACGATTGAAAATTAATGTATTTATTATGGTTATTTTGTGGGTTATTTTTTGTAAGTAACAAGCTGCAATTGTACTGAACAATTACGTTTTTCAGCGATAAATTAGCAATTTTTTATCGCTAATTTAGCGCAGTTTTTTTTTAAATTTTTTTTTAATTGGTAAATCATCGCTAATTTATCAAATTTTTTTGATAAATAAGCGCTTATTAATTTAGCTATGAAATAGCATGGAAAAATCCATGAAATTCTTATTAAAAATGAGTTAGCAATTTTTCATTGATAATTATAACAGGGACTTCAACCCGGGAGGGTCTTTATTATGATTTTGGAGAGCTTGGAAAACTCTAGATTCGCCTTGTTAACGGTGACATTTGCGCAAAAAAAGTTAGATCATATTCTTATTAGGAGCCCTTTCAGTCAAATAGTTATTCATTGTCCGGCGTGGTATGCAATTTTAAAAATTTTACAGAACTGAGGCTAGCAAAAAGCTTGAGCTTGCGGCCACCGTTGAGAGAACAATACTTTTAATTTGTTTCGAGTCAAAATCGAGAAGCAGAAATTTAGTAAAATCTGATTTTATCGCTCTAATATCGACACGCTCAACTTGGCTTAGATCTAAAACAGAAGAAACTATCACAGCCGCAGATAAAACAGAGAAGTAAGAACAGACCGTTAAACCAGATATATGAAAAAAAAAATACAGTTAAAAATGTGTTCCTTGTTTTTTTTCTCAAGTTTTCAAACCCAGTTTTTTATTGCCGTATATAACAAAATTTTCCAAATGTTTTTCTAAAAATGATAGAAAAAGTGTGAACTTTTTGTCTATGAACATAATTGTTCCGACTTTCGAACGCTCGGTGTGGTTTTTTTATTCAGTCAGTTTTCGCCGATCGAAATAATAGTTTTCAACAAACGTTTTTTATACCCCATTGAAGATATCGACTTCATAATTTCAAATTTAAAAAAAAATATTTCACCTCCGATTATGTTGCGTAAAATTCTGAGATGTTGAAATTATCCAAAGTGGCCATGTTGTGGATTAATTTATGCGCGCTTTGAAGAGTTTATTCAAATCGCTGAGAGCGTAACGCGAGTTAATTAGGTTGCGATTTATCCCGCACAATAAAATCGGTCGAAAGCTTATCATACGCTTTCCCATTCATATTGAGTTATGACCGAGTTGGTTAACTCATAGAGTAATTTCGGATAGGGTACACCGTCTGCTCGTCACGCTATCTTATTTTCGGCCGGATAGATTCGTGCAACTTCTTAGTCTAATACCGATCCTAATCTTACTCTTATACTATCTAGTCTCAGGTTGTTTAACTAGTCTCTGCTAGGCTCAATAGATCTAGGGTATACTGGTTTATTGCGGCTGCTGAAGTGCTCGGGAGAGTCCAACTAATTTCTAAGTTAAATTCAAATCTCTCTGGTGCTGAAATTACAAGTAACTTCAGCACTTACAAATAAGTGGGTTGTTAGTTAGATGGATCATGATTGGTTAATATTAAATACTTTACATTGGTAAAATATCTAATTTATCCAATCATAAAATGTAGTTTAGATCAGGTTCCACCCATCCGGGTTTTACAGAGTTTTTTAGAATAGTTCTTCTGCAATTCGAAGGATGGATGATGGACGTTGGTGTTTGGCGAACATCATATTTCTTCTGTTTCCTTTTTGTTAAAGAAGTTCCAGGAAGCTGGAGTTAGAGACATAAGACGTTGTGTCTTCTAGTGACAACGACTAAGTCTTTGCAACAAACTCAAATCTGATTTCAGAATGGTTTGCTATGTCAGGTTTTTCTGTTCTGCGTGGAGAACTTCTTTTGTGTCTGATCTAGTTTGGGAATGGCGTGGAGATTGTGCGTGGAGGGGATGCCTGGTTACTCGGATCTGTACGTATACTTGAACATCGAGGTGGTCATTGGTCTAGTTCAATGAAGTCCTTTTCTGCGAAGTCAAGTCGTACTCTAAATCCTTTGAGTTGTGATTGTGAGTGGCATATCGATTGTGGTTGGTCATTCTCTCTCGAGTGTAGTGGGGTCGTTTTGTCTTTAGATGTTCGTCCTTGGTGTTGTATTCTGATCTATGTATTGCATAATGTAATTTACATTTTATAAAACATTTATTAGTTTAATATTTTTTAATTATGATTTTAGTTAGTTGTTTTCACAAAAGCTTTTTGTTTTAGTTCGGTTATTTTGAAGAGTTACTCACACTTGAGTAGCTCTTATTAAAAATAGAGGTGTGGTCACAAAGCGTGGATGTAGCGCGGTGGGTTAGGCCGGCTATAGAGCATGCTCAGGACGTCCTTCCTGGTGGGTTAGGCCAGGAGTGGGAGTATGATTTCATGCGGTTTTTATGAGGGGTCCTGTTATGTGACAACGTTTTATGTTGGGTTTGTTGTGGTTTTTCTTATGTCTTGTTGGTTATGTCCTTTTTCCAAAAAGCAAATTGTTCGTGGTATGGGTTTGTCTTTCGACTTTTTTGTGTTTTATTATTTCTTTTTTAGACTTTATAATAGTCTTCAAAAGAATAAATTATCCAGTTTTAAACTGGGTTAATCCGGTTTGGGTACCGTTGGTTTCCTTTTCTTAGTCATGCTGTTATGCTTTGTGTTGTGGTGTTTAGTAAGCTGCATTGGTTAGTTTTGTTTAGTATATAATTCCTTTCCAACCGGGTTAAAGGAAAGATTGAAACTTGTTATCGTGTGTTAGAGTTGTTGAGTGTGAAAACTTGAAACTGAAATTAATTATTTTAAACAATTCTTCGTGGGCGAGCTGTGCGAGTGTGGATAGAATTTCTGTGCGAATGAATGAAAATACCAAAAGGTTAGTACTGCATTTGCATTTTATTAAATTACTGCATAGAATTTGGAAATTTACTGCTAGTTATGGGGGAATTTTTTAAGTTACAAATTTTCATCATAATTAGATTTACTGCTTGTGGGGGAAATTTTATAAATGAATTTACTGCCTTGATATTAAATTTATAAATTTATAAGTGTAACTGATTAATAGAATTTTTAAAATTGTTTGATGAAATTTGCGATTTTTATTTGTCTTTTGTGGTTTTTGTAGGTGATTGTCGGATGAAGGCTAAAAATCTAAAGAAAACATGGATAAAGTATGGTGAGTTTTTTAATATTTTAATTAGTTAGTAATATTCATTTAATTCATACTTACCTGTTAGTCGTCGGGGAAAAAACCGTGGGGGAAAATGTCGTGAATTAGTTCTGAAGTTGTTAGTAGTTTAGCTAATATGCGGATGATATTTTTAGTCTGAAGCAGTGGCCAAAGCAATTGAAGTGCCTTAATGGTGGTTAGTTCTTCAGTGCCAACTGCAAACTCATAAGGTGTGTTTTGGATTAGATTATATAATTTGTGATTGAATTTAGTGTTGTGGATGAATTCTAAAATTGGGATTTCTATGGGTTGTACAAACTCGTGCGGGATAAGGAAGGGTCGGGATTCTTCGGCGTTGAAGGTCTTGGTGATGGGACAGAAGATGTACATTTGGGTTATGGGGTCATAATTACGAAGAATACCATGGAGGTTAGTGTCTTTAATACAATATGTGAAATTTAGGAAAAATGGTGAAGTGTATTTGGAATTAATGAATTGAAAACGATGGTGTGGTTGTCTAGAGGGTGTGTGTAGGTCAAAGTGATTTTGGATGAAGCGATAATAACTATATGTGTGGGTTTGTTTAGTGCGCAACATAATATCGTGTGAGCAGTGCAGATCTCTTTCGTGTGGTGCAAGAAAATGAAAGGTTAGTGAAAATATTTGGAAGCGTTCTTTAAAACTTTCGTATGCTTGTGTGTCTGTTAGTGCTTCTGAAATAATGTGATCAAACTTTCGGTCGAAGATGTTTAGTGTAAATATATATGGTGTCTTGATGAAAAATTTCTCGGTAATTTGTGGATTAGCGAAGCGATCGTCGTCTAAGAATTGATCTTGGTTAGCTCTGATGATGTTGTGATCATAGTATTCGAGTGTATATTCGTTAGCTCTAGGTGCAGTGTGTGTTTTTAGTGATTTTTTATATCCAACGTAAGTAAATTGTCTAGCGGTTAGTGGTGTAGTGAGTCGATATAGCATGTCCGTATTTCGCTCTATATCGATG